TATTTCATCCGATACCTCTTTATCCTTACCAGAAACTCCATCACTTCCATCAACACCCTCAGTCACAAGTCAAACGCCATCATCTAGTTTCCCTACAAAATTTTCAACTCACCTAGACGACAGATATCGTGAACTACAAAGTACAAGTACACCCTTACGTTTAGATTGGAACTCCTTTGTAGAACCTCTCCCCTCTTTTGACAGCAATCGATTCCATAATTGGTCACGCAGCAGACTACAATGTCGACACGATATTTATTAGGACATTTAGGACTATCATTTTCAAATCTTAACCGAATATAACTTAAGTTTTAAAATCGAAATAACAGTAAGCTTAAAATAATTTAGTACATCCTCCATTACGACTCTCTCCACCAAATATAACAATTCAGTCTTTGCCCCTCCATTTATTAATACAGAACTTATCTTTAAACTCGATAGATATACAAAAAAGACAATAGATTATATAACGTTCTCTAACCCCTTTTCAGGATTTATGTAAACATATATCTTTTAATAGTTTTTTATAACCGGAACTTTTTCCCTGATGTACTTTTTGAACCCGTACCTCGTCAAACCCATCGCCCCGAACAGGATCACAAGATCTCTTTGTCACACATTATGATTGTGAAGATTATCAACAGAAAAACACTACATAAACACGCAATTAACTATGTAACACAATGCGAATCTGAACCACAAGACAATGAATCAACAATTATAGTAGCTACACTTTACTCAAAAGCCCGAGCTACAACTCTGACAAGATATCATTTAAAGACAAAATTCTCAGAAAAGAACGTAAATTGTTCACAAGTCTCAGCAGCAATAAAAACAGACTCAATCATGAATACTTTTGTCCAAGTAATATCGAAAAATTTTTAAATCTTAACCCTGAAATTGCAAAAAAAAGTGGAACGATTGAAAATAGCCGCAAATAAGCACAAACTATAAATTGGTACTTTTCAAGTCTTCCTAGACTCTGCACACCAAGCACAAGTGAACGACATCAAGGTCATATTAAATTAGACGATAAATTCCCGAATCACGGCGCACACGTATGACCTATGACTTACACGATAAAAAATGAATATCACACATTGGAATAAAAAGCCCGTCAAAGTGTAAAGCGCACAGAAAATTTTCAGGCTTCAGGAAAATTTGTTTTTGGATTGAAAAAAATCATTTAGAAAAAGTGCACTCTGCACGAGATTTAAAAGTTGATATCATATTGTATCAAGGAATCCGCTTACCTTGCAAAAATGATCAAGAATTTTAAGATCCCACTACACGAACACATGCAGCCATCGTTTTGTTCCCTGAGGACACATATACCACATTTCAAGTCGCTAAAACTCACGCAAGAATGATAAAACTTCCCAAAAAAAACTTATAGAATCTTTAACCTTTGATACAGTCAGTCCCGAACGAATCCGATCAAACCGACAGAAGTATAAATAAGTAGACGGTATTGAAAATAAATAAACACGTTTAGAATTTACCCTATAACGGAAGTAGCATGTTTGAAACCCCAAACCACTTTTCCGAACACAATAATCAGAAACTGTTGTCGAATACAAAAAGGGTTTCGAAATGAAAACAGGCAAAATAATCATCGATATATCACATCCATATCACAATCGAGAAGACAAAAGAATCCTACATCGCAGTAACATTTTACAAGAATACAGGAAATACTGGCGGAAAAATTCACCCAGAAAGTAAATATAGTACACGACCACAAGAATTTTCACTAATGAAGAACGCCTATTTTGGTGAAATTCACTACGATATAGACCTTAATATGAAATTAGATTACCCAATAAGTAGAACTTTTTAAGAGATGTCACTCTCCGAATTAGAAACACTCTATCAATTGTGTGAACTACAAAGAACACAAATACTACAATCTCTCGCTCTAGCAGTACTTAAAAAACCCTCAGCAGAATACCTCTTATTAGGCAACCACTCCAACTTCATTGACTATGAAGGAAACATTTTTTTGGTATTACCTTTGTATAAAAAAAATCCCCACTTTA